TCTTTTCTGATAAAGCATTTCTACTGGTAGATAAATCTAACTGTAGATTACGTGCATAAAATTTAGCAGTAGCCTTTTCGTCTGACCCATCTGGATTCCAAATACTTAAACATATTGACGGCTTCTGATCATGTGGTCGTTTCCATACCACTAACTCACAAAGGCTTTTCCTCACAACCTCCATAAGACCACGTAGGAAATTAGCTGTAAGAAGTCTGAAAAATACTGAGGAGATAATTCGAATACTAGTAGAAAAACTGTTTCGATAACCATATAGGTCTTACCAATATAAGCCGTAACGAGGATTATCGTAAGCAAGGGAGAAATAAGCTGATGATATGCGGTCATGATACCAGTACGTAAGATATTAATCCTGCATCAGACATATCTGGTCGAATAGAGGTACGTGATTTTCAAGCTCTTTCTTAAAGCTAATATCAGATTTTGTGTACTGCCTCGATTAGTTTGGTGGTGTGCAGTATTACACCTTGAATTCTGTATTATTGTATATTACCACTTCTTCCGCAGTTTCCGATATTGCTTCACATAGGAACAGTCCCATGCCTTATATGACTTCTTTTCCGCCCGCAATGCAATATACTGACGGTCAATTATTGGTTTCTACGGTATGTCTAGATATTAGGTGAACCAGGGATTTGCTGAAGTTCTGGAGGTAGTTCATAAGCCTCCTAAGAGCCGTGCAGTAGCGTTACTAGCTTTTTGAAACTGATGATTATGTGACAGATGTGGATAGAAATTTTTAATCTGTTCTACAACAAACTGAACTGCACTGCAAAGAAATTGGTGTGCCATGACTTTCTGTGTTTTGCCGTTAGTCATTTCTGAGTCGGTAAGAAATGTCGTGGTTCGTAATTGAAGTGTATGTTATAGCCGTGTTGTCCAGAGAAAGGTCACATCTCAACAGTCGACGTGTGAAGCTTCCTTGGATAGTTTCCAATCACATTTTATCCATGGTATTCATGTCTGAAAATTTCAGTGTGAAGTATTCATGATAGGGCCTTACACACGTTTCGAAGAGAATAGGCTTAGCCTCTTTGAGCAGAAGTTTTTTTCTTTAACCTCATAAGCCGTCTAGATTTAAAGATCATAATAACCGCAGTGAAATCAAGTATAAGAGTCAGTTTCTGATAGCACATTTACACAATATTACTGACAGAAACAGTCTGATACAGCCACACTTTCAATAGGTGAGTACAAATAGCGAATGTGCACAGCAGCGTTCTTGGGTGATTTGAGTAGATCAGGAGTGAATTTGTTGGGAAATGTCAATTTGAAAGCGCTCGATACAACCTGTGACCTAGACGTGCGTGTGCATAATGTGTACGTTGTCTAAAGTTGCCATAGAGGTTCCAATGTGAATAGGGCTCTGAGGAGGGAGAACAGAGAGAGAGAGAGAGAGTAAAAAAGGCAGCGACGAGTCATTTATATATATATATATATATATATATATATATATATCCAAAGCACTGTCTCATCCGTCACGGTGAAGTACACAATACAGTAGTAAATCAAGATAAAATTCATGATAACCACTAAAATTAAAGTGAATCATAGTAATACAGCCCACAAATGAAGGAGTACAGCGACGAAGGAAGAAGAGTTGTGGAGTATCAGGAGGATAGAAGAGAACTTGAAGTAAGAAGCTGGAGGTCTGTATGTTGAAACCGAAAATTCAGTAAAAAGATTAAAGTATGGAAAAATACATTGATGATTATACATTTTCACCATCTGATTTTTTTTATCAAATGCCAACCACTAAGTCACGCTGTAAGTGCCTGAGGAAGTATGGCGCGGGTTGTTTTGGCAGAATAACGACCTTCAGCATTGTTTTGGAAACATGATTCTCATAAGTAGCAAGCGGAGAGGAGCAGCCTCAGTATCAGTGATATGTCGCATCATCGATCGAAATAATAGGTCAAATAAAATGTTCTGCCTCACAAACATGGGTGCTTTGAAGTAATTGCCCACACCATCGATGTTTGCTGGTCAGTAACTCCACCCTCCCTCCTTTATGAGTGCTTCTCCAAATTTTACTGACACTAGTGCCAACTTCGTAGACTATTTATTCATCTAGACCACTTTTGGATACTTTTCAAAATTAAACAAGGCGATACTGCTTTGTTTGGTAGTTGCCATGCAGCATCAACTGTTCTTCGACTGCAAACATTAACCTCGCAAGACACAGCGCGACATCACTGGACAAGTAGACAGAACATCTGGGTACACCTAAGACATGGACTGGTGAGAGTACGTTTGAATAAGCTCAATATGATTTGTGTATCACCATACAAAAAGATTTAGCAAGCCTATGTTATGATACCTTATTATTTCAGACAAATTTATCTTGCTGACAACGGAAATTTTGGGGTAATTGAATTCACCGTGAATGAACTCCGTTGATCTTGTGATTCTAGATGAGACGGTAACTATGTACATCTATTCGCAATCTTTCCATGTTCCTACTGAATTTCTGTTATTATCACGAACAACGTCAGTGTTATTTTCGTTGACATTCTGGTCATGACAGCTGTCAAAATGATTTATTACCTCTTCGTTGCGTTTCGTGTGGCGTGTTTTCACTCAATTTATTATAGTTACTTTCCTTCCACAAAGCGGTCATTTCGTGTTTTCGTCTCTTGTGATTATCTGTTACTCCACCTTTTAATAACGTATACAGCAATAGCGTTGCTACCAGTTCCTTCACTGTAAAAAATATGAAAACTAGTAGAGGTCTGAATTCTGCAGCATTCGATGAGTCAAAAATCCCAGTTTGCAGCAACAGAATTATTAAAAATCACAGAACGTCACTCGATAGTGAATCTCAGAGTAATGTTTATAACTCAGATCACTCAACTCAAACACCCCAACTGGGCCTCTAACAGAGAAACGAGATTCCCATTTCTCGTAAGACCAGTAGGGAAAAAAGAAATGGAAGTAAGAGGCATCCTAAAACTTTGATTACGCAAGCCACTGTTCAGTGGGAACTCAACAGTGATAATTGAATTGCCTGCTCATCACCAGTTATAATCATTCGCTCACAATTTGGATGTAACTTCTGAAGTACGTAGGTTCATCGTCACTGTGATACTGCAAAATCTGGACAATGTTTTTTGATCGCATTAAGTCATCAGTATCCGTACTCCTGGCATGCCTGCTATTAGAGTAGAATTAATGAACCAACAACAACAAAAAGCTTGATCAAAAATAAACCTGTCGATCGCCATTAGTAAACCCGATTCGCACAACAAAAGATATATTCAACAGGTGACAAATTCAGGGTCAACCGAAGTCAATACAACAATCAAAGCCCCGGTCATTCCAAACTTCACAGTATCTGTTAAACGTAAGGAGTGGTGGGTGATCGTTAGAAAATAAATGTCAATACCACAGCTCCAAAGATGCTACAAATCAAGGACAGAGACCATAGAAAAAATTCATCCACTTCATTAAATGTTCCAGTAACCCACGAAATCGGATTATTTGTCCAAAAGTGATCAGTTCCTGGTCAATAATGTCCCCATGTCTACACACCAACAAGAAATAATGACCATGGCGAGGTCGTGATTAACATGGTCATAAATGAAATACTCAGGAAGGATAAAAACGAGACCTACGTTTGCTACATTAGGTTAAACTACATTTTCATAATAGACCCTGAGAAACAGAGAAGTGGAGGCTAGCAGTAAACGGTCACTGGTGGATAGCGAGACATCATTTGATTTTTGTTCTACATAATGTATATTAGGCAATGCACACACCTGGAAAGAGAAGGACATGGGTTACGCAAGGCAGCAAATACTTGCTCCATGGAAACAGGAGAGCCTGTCACAATTCACACCTAGTTCCAGAGGATGTGGCCTAGGGAAAATTGACTTGCCTCTGACTTGGTATTAAAAAACTGAAATCCGTTACGCCAGAAAAGTTACCAGGATGTCACAACATTTGATCTATCATCGTGAAACAGTTGGCCTAAACAGTGTCAACCAAAGGCCAACGTGAATCTTCAACTTATGAGGAGGCGACTTGATGCGATTACCCATAATTGTTCTTGACTCTCTTCAGCACATAATCACTGCCACACGTTGTAGTTCACAGTGTAGTCGCAAACCTTCTGCTTGAAAGAGACATAAATCTCTTGGATCGAGTGCAGAGACGAGCAACCAAATGGGTGATGGGGTTGAAAAATAAACCCTACGACGATAGACTCCAGCTCTTGGGATGAGTTCCACTGAGCTACAGGAGAATCAGAGGTGACCTGATTATGGCGTACACCATATTAAGCACGCCAAACCATCTTAATGTGAGCATCTTACCGATGCATCACCATCACTCCCCTCGAGGCAATCCTCGAAAGATTGCACATCAAAGAGCGAATACTCAGATTCGTGCACACTTTTTCTCGTTGCGAGTCGTCGCAACTTGGAATGCTCTCCCAGCCGAGGTGACCACAACCCCCTCAGTCGACTGCTTTACGAAGAGACTTGATAATCACGTACTCACATACGGACTATCATCTCCCTCTTGGACAAGCTGCTCATGATGCATATCTTGAGACCTGCTAGTTGTTATCATTGCCATCTCCTCAGATCACTCAATTAATCTATTTCGCCTATTATTTTTGTTTCCTCTCCCTTGCTTACACTACGGTCCTCTCACAATCTTCACTACCAATTAACAAACTAAATTCATCTATATATTACTCAGTTCTGAAATTTTATTCATATTAGCATTAGAATTTTATCCTTATTATCCTTATTACTCTTCACATTGCAACTAACTGATCTCCGGTCTGGTAATGTGACGGCTGCTGGTATCCAGAAACCCTACTGCCCTGAAACAAACCCTTCATTCAAATCCCGAGACATGCAAACTCACAACCAACTGCCAACTGACTAGAATTAGACAGTCGAGTGGCTAGACCTCCATCCATTGGACATAACTGAACACCTGGAACCGTACCGATAAGACAAGAATCGAGCGCGAAGAAATCAAATTGGTTTACACTAGCTCCTGAAAAAGATATTGGATATTGAATATCGGAAGGCTGTTGCTACGGCGAAAGCTCACATTTCGGTTTTGCTTACTGCCTATCGGGATCGTTGCTGCAAGACATGTCGACATTTTACAGTGACTTAGCGAAAGAAATAGAAGATGAAGATACTTCGGTAGGCTTTTCCACTCTTTGACTATTGGTTTATGCAGCTGAATCGTAAAGGACCTTTATACGAAGATAGTAGGTTTAAATTTATAGAATATCTGAACTCGTATCCAGATGATCTTGACGTTATATTAAATTCGCTTGATCATATAGATGAATTGAAGGTTCGAAAGCCAGGTAAAACATACAAATAAATGTATGAAAGCCAGATTAGCTGTGAAACAGAATGGTGATTCTAATTTGAGACTTGAAGGACATCCCGAACAAACTACAAGACCAAAAAAGTCCATAAAGTCTATTCTGGATTCCCTGGTAGACCCATTTGAAGGTATTGTGAATCTTAGCATTGGTCTCATATAGATTTAGATCCTATTTTACCAAAGACTGAGAAATCGGCAAGCCAATTGGATTTCGAAAAACAAGATGAATCTAAACGGCATCCTAATTTGTCGGTTTCTAAAGGTACAGTCGGATTTTTGGATAATATGGAAAACGGTTATCAAGAATTACTTGGGAATAAACAGTTTGACCTTGTGAGTTTGATAACCAAGAATTTGTTTACTGTGTTTTTGTGGAAAAATCTGTACTGGAATATATAAATAAATGGTGCACTATTATTTAGTAGCTTCTGCAATATACATCTGCAATATACATCTGACCCGTAGCTAAATCACCCATAAAGTCGTCTGATATCAATTCTTCCACAATGAATTTCAGTAGTTAATGACTTGATGTCCATAACGTATGGTGATAAAAATGTCACGTTTACTACTCGCAAACAACCGTGAGGTGGGCAATGGTGCAGATAATATATAAAGAACGTTGAATGCGTTCAACACTATAGCTTCTTGAAATACCCATACTGTCATCTACTTGAAATTAACATGCTTCTTGGTCTCATCTATGATCTAGTCAAAACGGACACTACTTATAAAACTGTTCATTTTATTGTAAGTAAAGTTCACAAAATTCTGATAATCAGTCTTACTACACACCTTATATTCATATTTGTATTCACCTAAAGAACAACTGAATCACAGTATGATAATATACAAATAGTGAAAAATTGGAGAATCATAATCAAAACAAAATTGTCTCCAATGAACAGTGAAAACAGTGACGATTAATACATAAATAACATATGTTGAAAGCTTATTTTCTGTAATAACTACAAACAGAGTTCAAACAGTAGGTAAATATCGTTCTGAGTATTTCGGTAATTGAAATGACCAAGTGATCTTACTTAAACCACCATTAGAATCCTGGAAGCACTGAACGACTGTTTCATTCAAGTATGAAACCCCTCAGTAGTCAGTGTCCGTGAAACCACCTTCGATATTCGAACCCAGGACGTGTAGTCTCATGCTCAAAAGTTTGACATTCAGACTACCGAGTTAAAAACCAACAATGTTAATATCTAACTTCAACCAATCCATGATCCTGCTCAACCTTCATCCATTGTATGCATCAGAAAATTCTCACACCAGGATTGGAGTGAACTCGACTGCTGACAGTGGTTGTGGATGTGCACTGATGATGAATCCCATACTGAGTCGAAACGCTATCCAGTGCCTTTAGATTTCCAATGGTGATCTAGCTAAGATCAGTACGTGTTTTAATCTACGAAAATAATACAACCTCACATGTCCTTCATTAAGCAAGGCATTAGTTCAATAATGTCTTTGTAAATAATAAAAGTCAGTAATCTGTCGTGGAAAAATTTTATTTAAATAATAAGTCCACCATTCTTCTAGCTAATTTGCTGATAGATGCAAAAGTTTATATTTATATATATAAATATATATATACATACCTCGCATTTATTTTCATATTATCTGTGACAATAGTCGTGTTATTTCGGTAAGGATGACATTTTTTTACCATTAGTTTGGTGTTGAGATATTCAATAATTAAGTGGGGGGGGGTTCGGATTTACATCAATAATTCATTTTTCAATATGGGTCCTCACTCATCATAGGTTAGTGGCAACCTAGCACAGTTCATATAATCTCATTGCCTCACAACAGTTTTAGAACATATTCTTCGTACTTTGACGATTCAATATTTTCTATACTTGCACGTTGATTTTATTTTGAAGTAACGGTAGGATTCACGACACTACGCAATGATCGCGAACACTGATGGGTAGAGAAAGCGAGACAGATGAAAAGGCAGTGATGATAGGTAGCAATAGACAACTGTTCCGCCTTATCGAGAAGACCGGTATTAGCAATCAATCTGTTAGCGAAAATATCTCGGAAAAGGATAGGCTTATTATTCATTCTCAACCCAGGAGATTGAATCGCGGGACTGAGCAATTTAGGGATCAGTTCAACTGGCCTTCAGCCGCACTTCGGTCACCCACGACCTACAGTCATCCTGAGTGGCAAATCGACGTAAGTCCCCCGACTCTTTATGAAGTTGAGAAAGAGATAGGAAATCTGAAGCGAGGGAGAGCAGCGGGTCCTGATAGATTGACCCCTGAGATATTTAAGGATGGTGGCACAGTTTTAGCAGCTAGATTGACTAAAATATTAGGTAGAATTCGGGAAGTGGACGTAATCCCATCTGACTGGTCTCAATCCCTGGTTATCCCAATTTATAAGAAAGGACAAAAGTCTCCTTGTGACAATCACAGGGGAATCAGTCTAACTAACATAGTATTTAAATATTGGCCTCTATAATACTCCGACTCCTTACTAGAGCTCATGAAGAGCGTCTACGAAGTCCCTTATTCTGTTTAACAGCACTTTGTTGAAGAATTCGCCTGGCATTGAGAGAAGAGCATAGTTTCACCCATCATAACAATTCCGTATTATGTTGGCCATCTTCTCAGGCACGCCGTAGTGTCGAAGAAGCCTCCATGGTGTTGTCCTGTCCATGCTCTGAAATGCCTTCTCATAACCAATGAAGTTGATGTAGTGGTGAGTTCCATTCAATTGATTGTTTCACAATGTTGCAATTAGGTCGGTACACGATCGGTCGTTACAGAATCCAGCCTGTTGGTATCAAAGTTGGGCGTCTGCGAAGTCCTTCATTCTGTTTATCAACACCCTGTTGAAGACAGCCTGGTATTGAGAGAAGATTGATGCCTCTGTAGTCCTCACACTTGCCAAGATAGCCTTTCTTTGGTATTTTGATCAGGTATCCTTTTTTACAGTCTGATGGTACTTGTTCCTCATCCCAAATCTTCTTGAAGAGAATGTGAAATATTTTCGCAGTTGCTTCTACATCTGCTTTCATTGCCTCTGCTTGAATGTTGTCTGGTCCTGCTGCTTTGCCGCTCTTGATTTGTCTGATGGCCGTGCTGATCTCCTCAATCGTAGGTGCGCCAATATTAATTGGGAGGTCCGTGGATGCATAGGTGCATAGCATTGAATGACGTTCATTGTAATTCCCTTTTATTTGCTTTGAAGGATGCTTTGATGGTCCTTTGTCCATGAGATTCCCATCTTATCAGTGATTCCTTTGATTATTTGGACAGCATCAGTGCAACATGTTGTGTGTGTGAGGCATTTTCCTCCTTATGGCTGAAGTATAACAGCAGCTCTCCTGAAGCTAAGCTTAGTTGTGGGACCTGTGTCCAATGTGTTTCACTGATTCCACGCATCTCCAGGTTGTATCTTTTAATCTCTGCAGCAATTTGGAACAGTCTTCCGGTCTCTCACAGTGTTCGAACAATCCATGTACCTAAAAGGATGGTTGCTCTGATTGTGAGAAAGGGTATCAGCCCCGTGACTTCCGAAGGAACTCGGCTTTCATCATGAGGCGTCATAACTCCTCTGAACGAAGAACATCTAACTCTCCGGATAGGGTTCAAATGGTTTGAATTGGTTTTTCTGGTTAGCGTTATTTTAGCGAGTTAGTTTTCTACGAGATGGAGTCGTTAAACCCATGCCCAATCGTCTTCCTTTATCCGGTCTTGGGACCGGCAGTATCCTCAGGAGGCGTCTCAGGCAGAATTCCTAAATGCAATAAGATATACAATCTGGATCTCACTGCTGATCACAATATTCAAGAAATTCAATCATTTTACAATGAATAATCACTCTAATGACCAGTTAATAACAAGTTCATGTTTCTCTGTTGTTTTTTTCCTGCTATATTTTCAATGAATTCAGAAGCAATTCGATCTGGAAAAACAAACTACTAAAACATCATATAATACTGACTTGCCTGATTCAAATGGACTTCAAAAAGCTCCAATATCATCTGAATTTCGACAGTTCACATTTGAAAATTCCCTACTTGATGATGATGATATTAATAGTAACAAGAAAAGGTTAGCTACTAATTAAAACTAATGATTGTTGTGTATGTCTGAAGCCTAGGGTTAAAGTTCATGTTTAAACATAAACATTCGGCGTATCATTCACTTCAGACCATTTAATTACTAATAAGCGAATCGAAAGCTTAGTTATTATCATTTTATAAAAGTAAAAGATATCAGAGAAAACCATTCGTTCGAAAATGATTTAATCATATCAACTGACAGTTTCATGAAATACCTTACTTACTTACCTACTTCCTTCCTTCCTTCCTTCCTTACGGCTGTTACCCCTAGTGTAGCGTAGGCCACCGACCAGTATTCTCTAACTTACTCTTTCCTGGGCCTTTCTTTCAAGTTCTGTCCAATTGTTGTTTATTCTTCTCATGTCTCTCTCCATTTCTCGGCGTAATGTGTTCCTTGGCCTTGCTCTTTTCCTTTGGCCTTGAGGGTTCCAAGTAATGGCTTGTCTGGTGACTCAGTTGGGTGCTTTTGGCAGCGTATGTCCTATCCACTTCTAGTTCTTCCTGATTTATTTCTCTCCTGAAATCTGGTTTGTTCTCCTCCACAGTAGGTTGTTGCTGATGATGTCTGACCAACGAATCAGAAGTATTGTGCGTAGAAAACTGTTAATGAATACTTGTATCTTCTGGATGATGGCTTTGGCAGTTTTCCAAGTTTCTGCCGCATACAGTAGAACTGTCTTGACATTTGTATTGAAAATTTTGGCTTTGGTGTTAGTTGATAGTCGTTTTGAGTTCCAGATATTTTTCAATTATAGAAATGCAGCCCTTGCTTTGTCGACACGCGCCTTCACATGTGCATTAGATCCACCTTGCTCGCCAGTGATAATGCCCAAATATGCAAAGGACTTTATGTCCTCCAAAGCATCTCAATCAAGTGTGATTTGGTTGGCGCAGGTTGTGTTGTATCGGAGAATCTTGCTTTTCCTTTTATGTATGCTGAGATCTGTTGCTGCCGAGGCTGCTGCTACACTGGTTATCTTCTCTTGCATTTGCTTTTGCGTGTGCGATAGAAGAACCAGATCATCGGCGAAGTCCAGATCATCCAGCTGTATCTTGGCTGTCCACTGTGTACCTCGCTTCCCTCCACGCACAATCCACCTCCTTTATTTGTATTTTTTACTGTCAGTAGCCAGGCGGATTTCTATGGAGTATATATAATCTATATTAAATTCTGTTGCGTGTGGTAATATGTCAAGGCTGCATGGATTGCTCTGGCTTTTGGACAAGCCAAGTAATGTATTCCGCAGTCATTGTCCACACATATTTTGACCTTGTTGTATGTTCGCTTACTAGCGTGGGTATTTTTTATTTTAGCGTTTGTTGGCGCTTAATGTATGCATTTCCCCCGCACATCTTTACCCAATCTGTTTCTGACTAGAATTAGCTAGTCATGCTTCGTCGAATGAACTCGACACTCCTGCCTTCTACACTTTGCTTCGCTTTTCATTATTATGTCTGTCTGTATACACGAGCGTATCAAATAAATTCATCCGATTCAATCCTTTTTTGGTCTCTCACAACCATCGTGGCACCAACAGGGTTCATCTGAGTGTAATATATAGAATGGAAATTTTAGATTTATTTTCATACCATATTTAGACTTCTGTCCAGATCGCAGTCAGATTTCGGGTTACTAAAGTTCAAATACTAAACTTTCAATGATCTAGTTGCAACTTCCTATACTCCTCTGTCAAATTTAATTTTGAGAGTTGAGTTTCATTCCAATAGTCTTATGCATTAACATGGAATAGAGGAAGTGAGCTATTTGACTAATTATTAAGTGACGGTAACTAATGCCATGTTCATCTAAGTTTTAATAGTGATAGAATTCCATCAATTGACCTGCGATATCATCTCAGATAGTTATATGGAGTGATAAAAAGTTAAGTCATTTAGAGGTTCTTTAATATTGTAGATATACTTTGATGATAATTTCCAGAAAATCCGACAGATCATAGTTCTTCAATAAACTGTCCTGGACCACACAATACCAGCTTTTATTCGGAAAATCAACTAAAATCATAATGACGAGGCTACAACGTATAGACGAGACAATCAGGTGTAAGAGAACGAGTCTTGGGTTTCGGCGTGAAATTCATTCACACACATGGTTAAAAAGCATTTCGGTACTACAGCTGATGCGAGTTCGTAATGCAAACTCTAACTTCTAGTTCTTAATCCCATTGTGAATTCCTCACACTCGTTAATAACGTTCTTAAGACCCTAACAAAAAAGCGTATTTTCAGAAGGTCGTTTTGATGTTGCTCAAAGATCTTCCTATTGTTGATTTTCAGAGCTAACTGTAGTGAATTTCTGTCTGTACATTTCTTTCATGCTTAGATTATTCCAGTAGTTACATGTGTATGGTGTTTTGGGCATCTTAGCTAATTATGGGATGGGTAGTTCATTTAAATATCGATGTGAGTTTCTGCAAGGAAAGTAGTTTACACTTAGATGTAAGTCTGAAATAGGATGAAACACGTTTCATTCAATCGCCACTGCTAGTCAGAACTTTTAAAAAGATATAATCTAGTTTGTATTGTGTCCTATACACTGGACCATACGTATAAATGACCCCAGAGTGACTGATACAAATCAAGCACGAGGAAACTGCTACTCTATGCGCTAATGACTAGCCCAGGACTAACTGGTCCATGATGCAGAGGAAGAACACAAGAACAGTCCGGCATCGCTATTATATTTCACGCATTCATTTATATGCATACAAAACCAGACTTGATACACAGCAGACCAATTAAGTGACGCTGTTAACTAGGAAGAACAACATCAGTTATGGGAAATGTAGGTTTACACAGTCGGTTCTAGTTTATGAATGAAACAGGATATAGCATTAATTAAGGCTAGGAACGCAACTAATCCGATGACATTGATCATAATAATAATGATCGTAATAATAATAATACTGAGGCCGAAATACCGAAAAAAATAAGCAGTCATCAAATGTAAATAAAATATTACAAAATTGATTCGAAAGTTTATTGCCTCTCAGTCACATAATCTAACACAAGACTTTGTATATATATATATATATATATATATATATATATATATATATATATATATATAACACGTAAGTGTATTCGAACAAATGTATTCTCTTCTATTATTCATACTATCATTCTGTTTCACATTTTTTAAGCCATCCGAATCAAATTCCTACTCTTTTAATTGATAAAAAGTTGACTGACAATTCAAGATTGATTGAATCTACACAATCTCAACCACATCATCGTCCTTCACCATTAGAATCGGCCAATCGAATTACGAGTAAGAAAATGTTGATGAATTAATTACAAATTGTTTCTGCACACATAAAGGGGGTTTTAATTTTCTAATAGCCAAGGCCTCCATAAACCTCGATGTATTTGCGCTATACATTTCGAACAATCTGATCACACATATTTACTTGTCAAGGCATTTTATATGAAGATGAATAAAAGGTCAATTAAATAAAAGTTCAAATAGACATAGGGTGATAATTGTAAATAAGGGAGAGAGAAAATTAACGTAATATGAAAAGAATAAGAAGGGGTAGGAAGATTGTCACATTACAGTTTGTTTAGTGAATGAAATGTGTGCTTGTAAATATCGTAGTTGAAATATTGTAGTCGAAATCACGGACTGATTTCAGATAGGACATCATTGGGAGACGGATTCGTCCTAATAGACGACTCCCCAGAAGTGTGCATTTACGACTTCTGCACGTGACCTCGATCTCACGCGCGAACGCTGAGTCGATGTCCAATGGTGTTGACTTCTGGAGTTTCGCAACATTACAGATTCATTGAGACTGGAAAATAAACATCATTGGATGCTAACTCAGTGGTTGAGAGGTTAGGCATACTCACGCGAGACTAAGGGACCTGGATTCGATTCCCACTTGATGTGATAAGGTTTCAGTTTTCTAGTATATGTTAGTGAACAGAAAAACATTAGTATTTCTAGTTACGTAAAATGAACAAGTTCACGTTAGGAAGTTGATTAGATTGTGTTATTATACATTGATTGAGAATTTCTTAATTACTGTATAAATTCTAATCAGACAGTCTTTTACCATGAGAAACAAATGTTTAATAGTTATGGTTTAATGATGTGATTTTTCTTCATCATCAGTGCCTCAACAACAATCAAGTGATTTCGAAAAATTGGACATTGATCGTCCACGTTCAACATCATCCTTCGCCTGCTTATCAGCATCAATTGACAGAGTAAGTTGTAATTATTGAACAATTTCATACTTTTCTTCATGATTTATCGTTCTGTTGTAATGCTTGCTTAAATAATTCCCAGCTAATTCCTATTGCTTAGTATTCTCTGACCACAATACACTGGACAAGTTCTAAAGAATCAAAAACACAGAGGAACAGGAAAAGATTATATTCCAAATAGCAAAGTTAAATCGAAATACGAAGCCGAAGGCGAAGGCAAAATAGGTACAAAGTTCAGTGTATCGTAAGATTTCAAGCCACGGATATACTCTATCTTGAATATTCTACCGTGCGACAAATAATGTACCGATTGATGTACAGTTTCTATACCTCTAACTCTCATGTTACAGTTTCATCTCGTCGTCACCTTTTATTGATAATCAAGTACATTCTTGTATACCCATGTTAAACTGAACGTTTTCTTGTTGTTAATCAAGCAGATAAATGTAGTTAGCGTAACTTACGAAAGGTCAATGCTCGCCAGATGAAGTATGTGTAAATGTGGAGAGAACACAGATTGCTGACAAAATATGCATTCGCGATGTTCAAACATCCATTTCAATGAAATAGAAGTACACTATTAGATTGTGTTCGCTCAAATCTCTTCTGGTCTGTCACATACTCTGATCACACCATGCTGATTGATCTCCTGACACTGCTATTTGGCAACAACTTCCAGGCAACGCTCTCCTTTATACACCTTTTACGCCACCCTATGAGTTGTATTAATCTCATTAGTACTTGGTCAGATGGTGTTTTTCCTTGTTGAAAAAAAAATCAGCATTCTTCCTCTCTCTCATACTCTCTATCTCTTTCAATCTTCCTCTCTCTCACTTCTGTAGAAAAATGCGAACCACAAATTTATAGAACAGGAAGCACAAATTAAACGTCTTGAAATGGAGCGTGATAACTTGATTAACTTATTAGATTTGAATAAAAAGAAACATCGTGAAGAACTACTTATTTTGGAGCAAACTTCAAAGTAAGTTTTACTTGAGTGAGGAATATGAAAATTAGATTTCGTTTGTTATATTTTAATGAGGAAGTGTCAATCAAACAATGAATCGATGAATGTTAGACCACCGTTGAAAACCGGGAAGCATTGAATTCGGTTCCCATGTGTGGGTTAGTGGATGAGCCACATACTAGGAGGAAACGGCCTGCTTCCAGCTTCCAGCTTATCAATGCTGACCTGACATTGATCGGTTAGTGATTTCACTGAAGCTCAACCACATCCAGATATCTGATTACGGGAGAGTGAATCAGTGAAACGTTTTAGATGCACATATATTTATGAGAAGTTGAACGGATCATTGAGTGATTTGAGCAACTTACGTTGAAGCTAGTAAGAGGAGCTTGTGTGTGTGTGTAGACTGTAAAACACGGTCAAGCGCACAACTCACAAACATGACTATACTCATACGAATATATAGATCGATTACTACCGACCAAACGACACTATCTGTTAACTAGGTTATTTCAGAGAACACTAAGGGTGGATGCACCTGCACCATTGCAAACGGTTTTGATCCATGTCGTTCAAGATCTCTAACCATCCGTTACTAACGTCTCGCGGACCTCAACCAGGTAGCCCACATCTACCGACATGACTCAGTCCACTTTTCAGTGACTTCATGGATTTGTGTCATGTTTTGGTTTGGCTGCCCCTAGCTTTCTTCCCACCTACTCCTACACCACAAAACATAGCTCGTCAAAGCAGTCGGTGCGTGAGTAAAAGTAACACGTGCCCCAACCGCCTCACCCGATGGAGTTTCACTACTTCGTCTATTGATTTGCCATCCCTACCCAGTACTCGTTTCCTAACTAAAGTATTGCTCACTCGGTTGTCCCAGCATTTACGTGCAATGCTTCGAAGAAATCTATAATCGAATACTAGCAACTTACGAATGTTCTCTACTCTTACTGTAAAACTCATCTTTTACCTCGTCTGAACTGCAGTCAGTGGGAGCGTAAGTGGAGACAACAAAGAGTCAACGACGAGTGTCCACATTTTTCCGAGTCCTTACTGTCCTGTTCAGTCGGACAGCTCACAAGCGACTATCTACTGCGATCAAGTCCAGGAGCTCTAGTTCTGCCCTAGGACTCGGTGCTATAACTACACCAGCGAGACCCCGAGAAGCAGCATCAGGGCTACCAGATACACGAAGAGTAAATCGAGCTACTTCTTTATTTTGACAAGGTGAAGTTAAATTGATGATTTTATTAGGATCGTGTTTGCTCGTTTCCGAGACGCAGCACACATCGACGGCGCGAGATTCTAAAGTCCTAGCTAATGAAGCCTGTCGCCCTACTTGATACAGTGTCCGGACATTAAAAGCTCCAACATGTAGTTTTGAACGGGGTTTCAGGAGACCAGGAATAAAGTTTCGTGAACTCGAATCGTTTGCATTGGCGGTGCGGAGTAATGAACGAACGTGAGAAGAGTTTGTCATGGGGATATGGGAGATGCTAGGAGTTGTAGTAAGGATTTGATTGAGACCACTTTGGTCTCGCGTGCTGTTACGGGTATGAGTGCGGGTGTCACTTCCCGATTGCCCACACCGTGGATGTTTCGAGCCCACGGGACAACTGCTTGAGGCCGGTCACGCACGGCCTTTTTATGAGAAGTTTTTGAATTGTTATATCCACTCTTGGTTAAAAGGCCTAACCGCCGGAGGCAGAAATCCGGAAGGTAAGTTGAGGTGTTACATTTGTAGGGTCGACCTTTTCTAAACCCTTCCTTACCTGTGACAAGACAGCATTGCTACTAATGCTGGTGGTCCGAGGGAAACACCTTACTGCTGTCACACCCTTCTACAGTCAGCCCCATACCTTGAGTAGCTGCTTTTAGTCACAGTAGCAGCTAAACTGGTCATATACTTTTGTCAATGTAAATGATGAACAACCAATAATTACTGATGATCAATCAAATATCTTCATAACTTTCTTCTCAAGTTGAACAAACAGAAATTACCGATTTGCTTACATGTTATTTATTGTTGTGACAATTTTTACTATAATTATCAAACATTTTTCTCAATCAATAAGTCAGTTACTGTTATTGTGATATACTGAGTTATATACCGCTGAAAATGTTTGTTATTTTGTAGAACTAAACTGGATTTACTGAAAGAAAGTGCACACTATAAGGAGAGACTGTATGTTGTGATTCAATTTGTTACATCATTGATGAGTTGCATTTTTGTTGTTTACGTTGTTTGTATCTAGTTGGTTAGTCGGTTATTCTGGAATATTTTTTAATTCGTTTTATTTTCAATCATAATGAATAACCGAGACTGACTGTTAGCCAGCCACTTGTTTAGTAGTAATGGAAATTCGATTGATAAACGTTTCGGTGACTGTCTAGACAACTTCATTGATCAGTCACAAGGAATTGAGTGAGGTGTTCACGATCAAGCTGAATTTAAGCGAGATTTTGCAATTTGATTCCGATCATTCACTTTAGCCACCTACTTGTATGTCTAATGCCAACTGTACTAGCAGTAAGTTGGAAGGATGCTATGAGCTGCCAAATCAATAGCATCAATTCATGAAGTCATTGACTGTCACTGACCATCTGAGCGGTACTAATGGATACAGAGTAAGTAAGTAGTCTGATGGTGCCTCTACGATCAGTATTCGCAGATCGAATGTGACATGGTTCAAATGCCGTTGAGTAGTTCAATCGAATGCAGTCAAATTTTCAATGTTTCTCTTGATTTTGAGTCGTGCTATAACTTCACACATTCTTATTCAAACCATATTCTTCACATCAAACTGACAGTTCTGTTCATTATGATGTCAAAGAGAGTAACAGCAAACGTTTGAACAGAATGACATAAATACAGTGTTATTTGTTCGTCAGGTTCTTGTCAGCTGCTTACAACCTGTAGTATTTGAAATCACTAGCGTGAAGTTAATCGGTAGCCAAACTGTTAACACTGTCTGTATAAAACAAAATATTCCATACATAACCCAATCAACCCAATCCCCATAATCCAGCTGTTCATGTTACCGCCAACCATATCTATACATTTACGTGTATTATTAACCAAAGTATATATATATATATATATGTGAGGTTTCAAGTTGTGGAAATTTCCTATTGTATAGAAATCAAGAGTTCAATGTGTTGTACATTCTTTATTACATTTTTTTTAAAATCTTTGATTCAAAACTTGTAGCAATGGTTATTCATTCACTTCATATCAAGTTCATCAATTATCTGGCTGTAAATATTCGATGCATTGCGAAACTGTCATCAAAAGCTATATTGGTATTTACAGAGCTGAAGGTTTCCTATGAGACCAGAAGGTTATTGTGAACATTATGATGATGGTTTGACATTACTTTGGGCAAGTATTACTAATAGTCCATATACAAATTCGGTTAGCAAAGTGACCAATTGCATTGATACTGGTGGTGGTTGTCTTGCCACATTCATGAAGGCGATTGTCATCGGGATGCTGTAATGCATATCACCATTGCTGATAATAATGAGTTTGATAGTCAAATAAGCGGAATGGTTCAAATTGGCCTGTTCATTCTGTGTATATCGATAGACGCGGTCATGAATCGGAAATAATCACTACATGTATTAGTATATATAAATGGTGTGAATAGGCCATCAGTATTAGGTACCTCTGTGTAATGCCTGCGCCATAGGATTGAGTTGTACTGTTCACGTTGTAGTGTTAACTCGTGGTCAGTGTTTGGTTCTCCTGAAGACAAATGTTAAATTACTCTAACCGATTGAGGGTGAATCGATACAATACAATAATAAATAAAAATCATCAAAAAAGGAGTTTGTTTTTTGTTTGTTTCTACTAAATTTGTTTTAGTCTTCAAGAAGAAATCAATTATCTTGAAGCACAGAATCGTGAAAGATTGAAACAAATTGAGAAACGTGATCAATTGGTCACTGATTTAACAAATAAATTGAATGAAACACGTCAAGCACATCAACGTGAATTGAATGAATCAAAACAAACTCATAAGTGAATTATTATTATTATTATTATTATTATTTTGTTATTGTTATCGTTGTTGTGTCTTTTACTCACTTACTTACGCCTGTTCCCCCAAACGGAGCATAGGCCGCCGACAAGCGAATTGTTTTTCTCTGGTTAGCGTTTTGTTTGAGCCAGTTGGATTTTTAAGGGATGGAGTCGCCAACCCCATGCCCAAGCCTCCTCCTTTATCTGGGCTTCAGATCGGCAGTTGTTCTGTCTCTTAACAGAGGTTTTATGTATTTCAATAGGGCGGCCTTTCATTCTCACAATTATGATTTACTGATAAAATGCAAAGTAGTAGGTAATTGGATCGAATGTTGTATCTGATCAAGATTCTTTGTTACTCAACTCTTTAGGTGACTAATGTTATACATGGAATTGATCCCCATGTTACTTCCACTCACTGCCACCATTAGGACAGTTACTATGGAATTAATCAGTCGGTAAATGGCTTTCTATTGAAATGAGATATTCATGTTGTTTCATTAACAACTAAATGATGACTGACGTCATTTTCATCGAAATGTTTACTGTTGAAACATCATTCTGACGAGTTGCACTTATCACGAAACCAAGAGATAGAGTACGATATTGTGCCTGGTTTTTTCAACCAACAACTTTTATCGAAATGCATCATTATTACACACTGTTAAGTCGAATCAGTCGACCGATAGAGTAAACTAGCAGCTTCATGAATCAAATCTGACCAGATATATATATTCGGAGAAAACAAAGTTTATTTACAGAATATGTACACATAATCTCCATTTATCTGTTTACAATACGAGCAAGTTATCAACTGACTGTCTTCTCTCAAATCTCTTCTATTCGTCAATATTAAACTCTGATCTAGCCATCCATTTCCATTTCCAGACACTCTCCTCTCTATATAACCAATTATCAGCGAACCTTCGCTTTATTCTACTTACGTGCCGCCTTGTGAGTAGTATGCACCACAGCACGATGTAAAAATTGCCATTTCCTCTTTAATTCATGACGAAGATCATTTCGAAAAACAATCACCAACTAAGAAAAAAATATGATTATCCTAATTACTATATAACATAGCATCTTTTTTCCTACAAAAAACATTTCAGTGAAGAGATTGCGATGTTGAAAAAACATCATCAAGAAGAAATAGATCGGTTAAAATCAGCAACACAACTTGAAATGCATATAACAAATGAATCACAAACAAATAGTGAACAATTGAAAAATCTTTTCACACAAATACAAACTACTTTAATGGATTTAAGTAAATTGGAACAAGAACACATAAAAAATATCAACATTCGAAATGATCAATTAACAAGACGTGAAGATGCGCTACGTTTACTAGAAGATCAAATCAATCAACGTGTATGTGTAAATTTGTTTATTTTTTATTTTAAGTTTTTTGCATCAATGATAATAACACAGTAAATGACACAACTATTGTTCAATCACCACACATCTGTCTTAGATGCCCTGTTTCCTAATATGCGCTTTTATAAAATATTTATAACCTAGGTCTAATTTAATTACGAAGCAAGTGAAGATAGATGATATCACTGTCCTGTGCAGAACAGAGAGCTGATCACTACTAACGAATTAAATCAATTCATGCATCGAATATATTCACCAGTCAAAATTGGGCTCATGACAGAAAGATTTGTAGTGTGTCAATTTACTGCGTGTTCTTAAGCTCGGTAATTAACTCGTTCAGACAATCGTTGCCAAATAGCGTCTGGCGGTTTATAAATCAGAAGATGAATTCGTAGTGATGAATACGTTTATTCGGGACACACCACAAAGCGAAGCGGAGAAGCAGTGAATAAAACAAATGAAGCGACGTGAAGTGGAGAAGGAGTTTGAGCCAACTCTTTGGATTACAATGCGAACGAATGGGCGAAAGAAGCGATGTGGAGAAGGCTAGTGAGCCAACTCAAAGTGATAGAGTATGACTAAGAATATATAGTCAGACAAAAATAAGACAGGCATATGACAAGCGAAATAGGCAGGCACAGACATGAATAAAAGCGACGAATGACTGACAAGGTCAAAAGCAAGCGAGACAAGTCATGTGAGTTCATAGGGTTATTAAGAGATTGACATTAAAGCGAAAAGGATGAGTCAGCGCGTAGGCGTAAGCAATGCTCAGTCGTACAAGCTCATACAAACCAGACAATAAAAGATACTAGTGGTACATATGGGTTGTTGCTATACAAATAGCGTGGTTACATAAGTTAATCGAAAGGCGTAATCAAATTAAATATGAGCAAACTCAAGTTTATGTGGAGGCACTACAGATTGATTGTAAAAACGGTCAAATATAAATGAGAAAAGCATCTTCTTTCTTTTATTATCTCAATACAATTTATACCACATTCGTAAAATAGTCACAAGGGAATTACTTGTGCAAAGAAGTATTTTGTTGTCAGAATTATTCGATTTAATAATAGTTATTGACCAGTATTAATTAAAAGTTAATATATGCTTTGAGTTAATTAGACACAGTTTGAATTTATACTAATTCATACGTATTCTTTCAGCATGAAAGTGATCACTTCTACTAGTTTTAGTCAGTCAGTCAGTTACGACGTTTGCGGTGTGTGATAGATCATAAAGGAATGTGAGAAGCGTTAGTCGTGGAGATATGAGAAACGTCATGGGGTGTAGGAAGGATTTGATTGTGACCAATTGGGTCTCGTGTGCTACTAGCTTTAGAGTATGTACACAGTTTGGATCTATTCCTAAAACCATCCTAGTCACACATACTTGTTTACGCTTGTTACCCCTCGTGGAGAATAGGACGCTGAGCAGCATTCTCCAACCAACTCTATTCTGGGCCTTCCTTTCCAGTTATTTCCTATTGCTATTCATTCCTTTGAGATCTGTCTCCAATTTTCGGTGTAAGGTGTTCTTTGGTCTGATTCTTTTCCTTTGGCCTTGGGGATTGCAAGTTAAGGCTTGCCTTGTGATGCAGTTGGTAGATTTTCTCAATGTGTTTTCCATCCACCTTGAGCGCTTCCTCGTAACTCCCCCCTCTAACGGTAACTGGTTCGTTCCCTGTCACAGTAGGTTGTTGTACATCATTTCTTGCCAACAGATCCAGAATTTCTTGTGTAGACAACTGTTAATGAACATCTGTATCTTTTGTACGATGACTTTTGTATTCCTCGAAGCTTCCACATCAAACAGTAGAATTGTTCTGACATCCATATTGAAAATTCTGACTTTGTTGTTGGTTGACAAACAGTTGTTTTGAGTTCTAAATGTTCCTTCCCGTAGAAAATAAACTTGCTGAAAAAAGTGCTAACCATAAAAATACTAACACATAATATGCTACAAATTTCGTTTTATTGAAATATTAAAATGTATTACATGTCAATGAAGCTAACATCATCATCAACACTTTTGAAAATGTCATTCAATTAATCAGTGGATGATTGGGGTTGCAAATAGTTTTTCACAGGCCTATTATAATCAATTTTTATTGAAGTCACTAACCTATCTAGATCGGCTTAATTAACTTTCAACAGCTCGAAAATTATTTCGTTTTATATGATGAGTAGTATTGATCCTAGACCTATATGTAAAGGTTTGTTCTAAAGCGTAAACATTTTATGTGGAAAAAACCCGGATTGACCTAGTTCTTTTTCGGTCGGTGCCTTGAGAGCACCACTATTCCATGTAGATAAAACATCACTTATAAAGTAGGTTCCTAATCGGAAAGAATTCAGACAAAAGTATTTGAAGTAGATTATACTTTATTATGAAGTGTGTGTACTTTGATGTTGAGCGCACATGGCTTGTCCCAAGCATTCGGACAAATTAACCAATCTATTCATCTTGAGTTATTACTCACTTCTCTTTCGATCTTGTTGATTGTTCGCTTATATCTTGGTTGTTTTTATTCCAGTGTATGTGCGTCACTTACTTCGCTCATCGCATGTCTCGCTTATTTTTGTCTGACTATAGATACTTATTCATGATTCGTCGCATGGATTTGACTGGCTTGGCTTCTCTACTTCACTTAGCTATGCGTGTATGTTCTTCATTCTCATGTGTATCTGCATGAACGATTGACTTAAATGAACTCATCCAACCGAATCTGTATTTGGATTCTTATTTTACCGCTATCGCATAAACTGGATCCTCGTATACGGAAACTGAAGTTAGAGTTTTATTTCATTAGCATACACGAACATTCATGAATAAAGGAGTCATCGCAAGCCACTAAAATATTGAACGCAGCCACCGTTATTTCATTGTCAATGTTTTACTAATTAATAAACCAATCAATCTACTAAAAAAATCCTTATAAAAATAGTTTATTGTCAAAGCTTTACAATCTAATTTCCTTATTTTTTTAATGAATCTTCCATCGAACATGCATGGTTCAGCAAAATGTAAAAATTACAAGTTAATTTTTACACTTTCCATTCCTCAATAATAACATGTTTGACTGTTTTTAGAGCCTGTAATTACTTTGTGTGAAACCAAACGAAGTTTAACATGAAATCAAACGAAATCACTGAGACTATATCAATCAATTAAAATAGGGGAAATGAGTTCAAACAACATTCATTACTTAATAAATACAAATTCAGTATCTATGATGCACATAATCATCATAATTAATGTGATTGGCAGTGATCTATCATCATCATCATCATCATCATCATCATCATCATCATCATCATCATCATCATCATCATCATCATCATCATCATCATCATCATCATCATCATCATCATCATCATCATCATCATCATCATCATCATCATCATCATCATCATCATCATCATCATGTTTCATAATCAATCGTTAAATGATGAAGCAGCTGATATGCACCATTTTCATGTCTTCACATTACTATAATTTTTGAACTGAAAGTAATGATCATATGGTTTTTCAATCAATGAATGCATCATCATATTGTCAATATCCAGTGTTTTTGTTTGTTATAATATGCGAATGTCTCAGATATGAATGTGTCGACTTCAGGTCTTCATTGAATATGACTGACATGAATAATTGTTTTTTTTTTGGCGGGGTTGGCGCTGGATTATTTTTTTTTTGGTATTATGTAATCTAGGATAGATGGTCAATGAAACAAGAACATGATAGACTGGCTAAACTTCAAATAAATTCAGAAGAAGAAAAACGTTGTTTCACTGAACAATCAGCAAAGGCACTTTCTCAATTGCAACAGTTGGTAGTAAGTGAATTCTATCTTATAATGTCTGTTTTTTGGTTTTAAAGATACATGTATTGACAACTGTGTTGATATTTAAACGGCGACTATTCATTACAAACTAATCCAAGTTGAGATTCATTTCGAACAAACAGGTATCAATAAATAAATATTCCTTTCTATTATGAAAGTAGCCCTCAACGATGCATACCGACGGCTCTGTGAGCGAGCAAGCACAGAATCTCGAGGTTTTCCAACGAACGTGTAATCATTCGATGATGACAAAGTTACAATCCAATAACATGAATCATGAATATTAATCACTTCGTCGGTGCATATTACTGACGAGTTCTCTACCAAGGCTAGATAGTCATTTGTGTGGTACTGTGTGGCTTTCTGACTGGTCACGGAAATGAGCCAATAAGCCACAATCATGTTCTGCAAAGATACTAGTCATAATCGATATTGATAATAACGATAATCGATGTAGAGTGGATAAGTGTGGAATAGACCACGTTGCCCGACAATTTTAACACGACCAATTCAAAATACACTCGGAGTAGTAGTGGTTATTTTTCCTGAATGAAAATTTCCAACATATCAATTTAACATTTTAACTGGAAATATAAATTCACAATGAATAATTGCAAAGCACTAACCAGAGATGATATCACTTTTAGTAGAGTTGACAAGCTTGCCTACTCCACTTCACTTTGTTTTCCTGCCTCTCGTTTTCCTATATTTGTCTGCATAAGCGATTGCATGCAATAAACTCATCCAGATGAATACCTAGTTTGCTTTTTGTTATTGTCATGGCACAGACCAACTTGGCCGTGAATGCAATGTACGGAATGAGATGAAAAAACATATTGAATGGGTTAGTGAGAACATGGTCTACTGAACACTTCTCCATCTCAAGTATCATCTCATTCCATGTATGACAAATTGATTTCCCAATTCATATTTTCCTATTCCTACTTTAGTCTGACTTCATTACTGAACATCGTAATGCTCAAGCAAAAATGTCAGATGAACATAATTTTTCTTCTGAAGAACATCAACGTCTACGTGACAAACAATCAAATCGGAAAGCGAAACAAAAGTCCAATGATTTAGTCTTGAAAAGAGTAAGAACCTGTTGTGTATTATTTTTGTTTACTATGTTGTATGAATAGAATTTTTCCTCAACTACGATTTCATTCACTAGAGGACTAATTTCTAAATAATAATGTAACATTTGAACAAAAACATCTAATATTTGTCTTGACACTATGTAATGATAAGCTGAATGAGTTCACTGATGATTATATCATGGGGTACGAGTGTAAATCAATATATTGTCCACGATTTGTTCCCCAATTCTATGGTTGCTATTTACATATCGCCACCAGACTAAATCTTATTATCTATAAAAGGTTAGAAGTGTAAATGGTATTTATTACCATGTCACTTACGCTGCATAGTTAAATCTAATGATTGTAAAGAAATAGCAATTATTACAGCATTGAATCAACTTCAAGTTGACGAATATAAACGGTCAGACGCAGCAATCCGTTTGGCACAAGTCATACGTTGGATACACTCTCATCGCACAGTTCATCTTCAGTAGGCACTGAAACTCAACACCATCCGCCTTAACTCGCAAATGCAGGTATATCCAACTGACATGTCCGAAATAGAATAGACAATATACACATCTGCCAATGATGGTTAGAACCCAAAGACAATGTCGAGGCAATCCACACAGGATGTACATTTTTCAAATGAGACTAATCAATTTCAGCATGAAGGGTTGAGCATTGGGTTAACGACACCATCCCGTAAAAAGCAAACTGGCTAATACACGCTAACCACACAAAATAAGTCAAACCATTTAAACTTTGCACTGGGAATCGGAAAGTTTTCATTCAGAAGAGTTATGACGCCTCATGATGAAAGCCGAGTTCCTTCGGAAGTCACGAGCCTGATTCCCCTTCTCACAATCAGAGCAACCATTGTTTTAGGTACATGGAGTGTTCGAGCACTGTGAGAGATCGGAAGACTGTTCCAAATTGCTGCAGAGATGAAAAGATACAACATGGAGGTGTTTGGAATCAGTGGAACACATTGGACACAGGTCCAACAACTGGGATTAGCTTCAGGAGAGCTGCCGTTATATTCCGGCCATAGAGAAGAAAATGCCTCACACACACGCAACATGTTGCACTGATGCTGTCCAAACAATCACAGGAATCACTGATAAGATTGATGCTCACTCTGTGTCATTAGTGGGAAGATTTAAATAACCATTGTACATGAATTATTCTTCACCCGATCGTACAAGCTAGTGACTGGTTATGTGGGCTTAGCAGCTGAGTAAATAACACGATTCTGTTTGGAGCGAACACGTTACTCTGTTTTAGACATAGAGATTAATACTTGACTTTCATGTAACCACCACTTATTACTTTTATCAAGGCTCAAGAAGATATTGATTCAATGAAAGAGGCATTAACATTGGAACGTCAATCATTCAATGAAAAAATGAAACAACTCAATATTGATAAAAATAAATTGGAAGAAACTAGACAACAATTAGAAATTGTTAGGTAACAATTCATTATTCTATTATTTGTTTGCTTGATTTTTCCACATACAAAATCATTGCATGTCACAAATGAACTGATTCTGTGCTTGATTATTAATTATAGTTGTATTTTTCTTCATTTTAATCAGTCTAATTCCATGGTTATCAATTAATTTGTTAAACAATGACTAGCAGCAATTCAATCCTTGAAAAGTTAATCTTTGTTACTAATTGATCGACCGATCGATCGACTAATTGATGTTAGAGATTTATATAGAATAAGTAATGATGTGGAAGCACTGAACAGCCGTTTCATTCCAGTGTAATGAACGGGGACGTTAAGACTAGAAGAGATAAATGAGGTATTTAAAGAAGACACACTTCACTTGGAAGTTGTGTACGTACACCTTCTCTTCAAACTTACATTTGCAAATTAAGAGGTTTTTGGTCTGCCTCATTTCGCTAATCGCGCCATTCATTCGATCCGACACCATTCTCTTTAGTAGTTATTTGTGGGCAACACACCGCAGCATGCTACTCAGAAGCCACTTTGCAATTGGTGATCATCACACTAATATAGGACTGATGATTAGTAGTTCGCATCAACTACCACTTGCACTTGGTGACACCGAATCCAGAGTACTTTCGGTCTCCCATGTGAATGCTTGACCTCTGTATGTTCACAAAGTGATAAATTTAGACCTCCATTTGTTGTCCTTAATAGATTGGTTTGATTGATATAAAATAAAGAATACCTTCACACATAGTAAGTACGCGAACCAATTTGAATGAATTCAGTAGGTAAGCATATTTCATTTACATCAACATTTTTTTTTCAAATTTGACTGCTTTTTTTCATTCACTTCATTTATCTTTGTTAATAATTTCAGACTTGATCTTGTTCGTGGACAGGAATTGTTAACACATCGTGAACAATATTTAGATGAAAGAGAACATGAATTAAATAAACGTGATGTAGTTTTAAAGCAAACAGAGAAACGTTTAAAAGAATCCGAAACTCGACATCGTCGTTTACATGATGAACAAATTGAATTATTCACAGAAATAAAAGAAAAAAATCGCAAATTATTTGAGGCTGAAAACCAAATTGTTCTTGTATGTCTTTATTTTCGTTATTTAAATACTAAATTCATTGAGTGAGTATATTTTAAATATATAGAATTCTAGTCCCGACCGTAGCTGCTAACTTGACGTGGTTGCCGTAATACAGTAGCACATAGATACAACTGTCAGTTCAAATCCCATAGCAGTAAAGATTGTAGAAGTATTAGTTTAGGTGCCGATACAAGCCAATCTTGAAGAAACGCTTTGCATTTCGAGTGTGAGGACCGCATCCCGAATATGCCTGCATTGTTGCTTAGAGTAGTCAGAAGACTCTGCATTTTGTCAGCGTCTTCACCAAATAGAACTATGTCATCGGCATTTTCTAGGTCAATAAGCGTGTCTCCTGGTAGAAGGTCCGCCACAGAAAAGCCAGACGAAGACAGTGTCAGCTCTAAGAGCATGTCAATGACAAATTTGAACAAGAATGGAGAATGTAGCTAGCCCTAATGAACACCACTTGAATTAAATAATTCCGATGACGGTTCTCCATGAGCTCTCACTCAAGCAGTAGTGTTCCGGTAGAGAGATTGCATTAAGTTAATGTACTTATCTGGTACACCTTTTTATGACAGGCACCGCCACCTGCCAGTTGTGACTGTATACTGTCAAGTTTATTCGTGTAGAGACTAGTCAGTCGTCCACTGGTTCTTGCCCTTCTATAGTATTCCAACGTAGATCACTTTGTAACAAACACAATCTTTAATCAAAAAATTGTTTGCATTATAAACTACAATGACCTGCTACGAAATAAACTTACGCGATTGACAATTGATAGCATTGCGAAGTCAGACTACATCACCGTTTCTCTAGTTAATACTAATTTCACAAGTTTATATCGTTGATCTTTAGTGAGATTAAAACTATAGCACTTCTTATGAGTGACTATTCTAATAAAATACACACTCTCTATTAATCAATTTGTAGCTATGGTATATGTTTAGTTGTTGTTTTTATGGGAAAGATAATACTCATATCATCGTTTGCAATCGACACACACATACAACACAATCAGCACTATTGTTATTGATGACTGAAGGTGATTGGCGGAGATTACTTGTTTTCATAGTAAAAATTACGAACCAATGTTCTTAGTGAGACCACTATTAGAAAGCTGGAAGCGTTGGACAGACGTTTTGTGCTAGTATTGGGACTGATCATCATTGTGCATCCACGATCGTTTGCATACGTGAATCACGTGCATTCAGGTTTCTAATCTTAGTCTAGCTAAGATTAGTTCGTGACTAGTTCAGCTATGAAAATACAATTTACATTTCATTCTTATGTACAAGTGTGTAACGAAGGGAGACTCGATCGTCTATCTGAAATGTGTGTAAACTATGCTAATATCATTTACAATATACATCCCATATACACCACACATTTGAATCATAATTGATCACCAACTCTTATTCTTCTCTGTTTGTTTCTTCAAGGAGAAAAGACGATTAGCACAACAAACGGAGAAATTAGTTACATATAAATTGGAATCAGACAATAGTCTACGACAATCCATATGTTTAAATTGTCGTATACCAATTAGAGAGTGTAATTCTTCATATGATCTTCACTGTGGATTGGAGAATGATGATGGTAATACAGTTAACGAAACAGCTGGAAAACGCATAATCAATACGAATGGAATTAGAAAAGGAGGTAAATTATGATGAATTACTCACAATACAGGAATTGTATAACCGATGTATGCGGAAATCTGAATGACACAAAAAGTTGATCATGTTGTTGTTTGAAGCTGTCACAATTGCATCTAGACCTAAACGTTTGTGTCGGTGGTGTGAGCGTGTGCATTGCTTATTTGTCTTTTTGTTTAAGATGTAACAGTTTTGCAGTGTTCCATAGTATTCAAATTGTTATCGGTTCACGTTGAAAACTACCTTTCGGTTAAATAGTCTTTATATATTCGGGTGAGGTAATACGCAACATACAAGTTAAAGATGGGAATTCAGATGTTTATGTTTATGACTGCCAATAATGTGAACCCCCAACGTTAGTCAAAGTAGGAATAAGTAAGAAGGAAGCGATGGGCAGTCAAATCGAAACGTTGAAGCAGTGCATAAAGTGATTGGCTATTTTCGTCAGTTATGTTCGTAGTTGTAGACTACCTGGTTGCGTTACTCCTGATTACCGCAAACAAAGGGTAAAATGGCTCACATTGTGGCAATTATATTCAATTTGTGTCTCTGCTCACTCTCTCGCACACTATTCATTCTATGAATTCATTGTTTCTCTTCGAACTACTGTTAAGTCTCTTGTCTGGATAACATAGAATAAATAGAATGTGGTTAGTATGTGTGATCCTCCAGCACGTGGGTTTTGTTCGATTCGGAACTCATCTTTGGTTGGATGTATCTGCTTAACAGAATTAGAATTCACCTGGGCACTCACACTATCTCTCGATAATCCGATTTATTTCTAATGAAATTTATGTTGACAGTTTAATTTAGTGATGCCTATGTAATTTCGAAATTCGATATGATCTCTTTTCAGTAAAAGAAGTTTTAAAACATAAAGTAAATTTCTGTACCTGAGACAATGTCGTTATCTATCCTTGTCACACAAACTTTTATCTCGTTAATGAGTGGGGTTGAAAGTTTAAAATACCATTGAACCGCCTATCAGCCAATAAGGAAAACAGGTAACATCTAAAAGCCATAAAATACCAGTGAAGGCAGCGTAAATTGCTGCTTCGCTGACCATATTCTCTTTCATTTTTGTTGTGTCTAGGAAAAAAGAGCCAGATTATCAGTAAATTGCACTCGTTCCTTTCTCCTAGTACATTTCGCCTCACGATGTCTTCATGCCAATTGTTGTCCATTCCAGCACTGCAGTCTAGGTCTCCCATCGAAATGGTCAAATCCTTTGATGAACATCTGTCGAGGATTGACTGTAGCCTCTCGTAGAATTGATCTCTAACATCTTCATTATAGTCATTGGTAGGTGCATAGTATTGGATGACGTTCATTGTAATGCCGTCTTCGTTACTTTGAAGGATGCTTTGATGATCCTGTGTCCATGAGATTCCAATCTTATCAGTGATTCCTGTGATTGTTTGGACAGCATCAGTGCAACATGTTGTATGGGTGTGAGGCATTTTCCTCCTTATGGCTTGAGTATAACGGCAGCTCTCCTGAGGCTAATCTTAGTTGTGGGACCTGTGTCCAATGTGTTTCACTGATTCCAAGCATCTCCAGGTTGTATCTTTACACCTCTGCAGCTATTTGGAACAGTCTTCCGATCTCTCACAGTGCTCGAACAATCCATGTACCTAAAAGAGTGGTTGCTATGGTTGTGAGAAGGGCCATCAGCCTCGTGACTGCCGAAGGAGCTCGGCTTTCATCATGAGGCGTCATAATGAAAACCTTCCGATACCCAATGCAGAGTTTGAATTGTCTGAATTATTTTGTGTGGTTAGCGTGTATTAGCCAGTTTGCTTTTTACGTGATGGAGTCGTTGACCCAATGCTCAACCATTCACACTGAAATTGATCAGTCTCATTTGAAAAATTTACATCCTGTGTGGATTGCCTCGACATTGTCTTTGGGTTCTAACCATCATTGGCAAATGTGTATATTGGCTATCCTATTTTTGACATTTCAGTTGGATAAACCAACATCTGAGAGTTAAGGCGGATGGTGTTGTGTTCCAGCACCTACTGAAGATGAACTGTGCGATGAGAGTGTATCCAACGTATGAATTGTGCCAAACGGATTTCTGCGTCTGACCGTTTATATTCGTCAACTTGAAGTTGATTCAATGTTGTAATAATTGCTATTTCCTTACTCAAATATTTCACTTATCTATGTCTCGTTGCATTTATGAAGTGTGTAAGAAAGTTATGTACAACTTGTAGAAATATCACGCTAATAGAAGTATTACCTTCAATTTCATATTTTATTGTTTTTTTTGTGTTTTAGGAATCTTATCATCTAATCAGTGAAGAAGTAGAAACAGAATCGAAGCCAAATTCTTTTTCTAATATTTTGAAACAATATTTACACTTTCTTGGATAACGGTATTAAATTCTCTCTCCCACTCCCTCTCTATCTCCATTTCACTTGTCTCACATAGGAGTAATATTGCCGGCTTAGGTTGTCATGTTTGCATCTATTTTTAGTTAAAAACTGTCTGCTTGCTCGTTTGATGTAAAGTTATGATTGCCAACACATATAACCTCTGAACACATGTACATATTGATTCTCATAATGACAGGTTTTATGAGTATTCTCTGCGAAAATGTGATTTCAAAATATTATCATCATTAATTTCACAACTATTTAGTTGCTGTCTTTTTTGATGTACAAACTAATATGAATGTCATTATCAGTAAACTTTACTCTATCAGTATTACATACCATAATAGAAAGGACCATTACTGAATTGATAATGTTATCCTCTTGGATTTTAATAAACATTCAAGAACTAACATTCATCCAACTTAGGCAAGTGTAGACCATTTTGAGTGATATTGTTCATGTCAGTTAGTTAGTTAGCTAGTTTACCAAATTGTTTGTAAAATGAAGTGTGGAATAAACATTGAGCGACTTGAGTTGCTGACGTTCTAGACGAAGGAGTCTTAATAAAATGAACGGTAAACACGTTCACCTAATGTAGTGACAATGCCAACAAGAAAGACTAAACATATGACAGTATGGTTCGTAAAAGCGAAATAAAATGTTTGTGTTAAGGGAGTACAGAATTTTGTCAATTGTTGGTGATGTTTAGAAAATTAATTGGTATAGTCCGTCAACATATTTCCCCATGTTCACACATTGTTAAATTGTGATGAGTTTAACTGTATGAGGTAGACATTTTTTTTCGACACTGCTATCCATGTTGAATATTTGGAATCAATCAGTAAGATAACATAAACCTGGCTTGCAATTTTAGCTGGTTCTTGTCAAAAAAGATGTGGTACATTGAATAGATTCTATTGACTGGAACAATATAATTTTTTGTTCTTAAGTCAACAGTTATCCTGTACATGTTCGTTAACAAAGAATGAATCCATCTAGTAGGCAGGTAACGCTTTTTTTTATAAATTGAATCTACCCTAATTATCATCCTTATCCAACCGAATCCGCATTGTCAGAATGGAGTTGCGTAGATTGTTGAGTTTCATTGAATTCGTGATCCGATCAATGTTCGATCTAGAATCACAAGATCGACCCTAAAAGTTCCGTTGTCAGTAAAATAAATTTGTCTGAAATAGTAAAGTATCATAATATATGTTTGCGAAATCTTTATACATGGTGATACACAAATCATATTGAGCTCATTTGAAGCGTACTCTCACCAGTCTGCGACCTGGGTGGACCAAGACATTCAGTCTCCTTGTCCAGTGATGCCTCGCTGTATCAGTGCGAGGTTATTGTCTGGAGTCGAGGAACATTTGATACTACATGGTAGCTACCAAACGAAACAGTGTCTCCTTGTTTAATTTTGAAAAGTATCCGGAAGTGGTGTTGATGGATAACCTAGATAGAAACGACTCAAAGTCAGATGATTGACAGTGTAGTGACTAGGATTCACTGATATCAGTTACTTGCTGTATTTCAGATGTGTTAAGTACTTCTTCGGTGTACAGGAGAGATGACTCACCTTCACTGGTATTCGGGAGAATTTTGTCTATGAAGTTTGCGCTATTGTCAGTAATATTTAGAGTTGTACTCTTAATCTTACCAAATGTGGTAGACCGGTCTGCTTCTTCAACCCTGTTGTTTGCATTTATCATGTCTGCATTGAACACTAAACTTTTCTCTTCAACATCATAGATGGTTTTGTTCCCGTTCTATGCATAATTGTTTTCGGTACACAACACAATCTCATTTGAAAGAATCCTCACAAATATTCTTCATACTGTGAATTTTATTACAATATCTACGAGATAACCATCTGATCTCGGCGTCGCAGCATGCGTATCCGAACTCCACGTCATTCAAAATCGTCTACCCTCTAAATCTGTGGTTTGCTTTATTCCTAAATGAAGGCCAACTAATAATAAAGCACAACGATTCCCTTTCATCTCCAACACCAACAACCGGTGGTGTTATCCTAGAAAGTGTATTCGGTTCACCCTCGCTTCTCATGTACACAAATAATAAACACTAAGCGATAAAATTTGGAAGACTATCAGTCAGTCAGTTACAAGGTAGAATTTCATACATGAGTACATTAGTTCAGGTTGCCATACCTCATCAGCACAGAGACGCAACTGTCACTTCAAATCCCATAGTGGTAGAGATAGTCGAAGTATTAGCAGTAATGGAGAAAATTAAGGTTCGAAGATATGATTCGAGAAGTATAATTCAATCAGATAACTTTAGAAAGAGAAAGGTAGAGGTGGGGAGGAATTCAGAAGGTCAGAATTCGAGGGAACATAAAGAATGAATGCACCTGTGCCATTGCAAACGATTTTGAGCTATGTCGTTCAAGGTCTCTACTCATCGGTGACTTTTGTCTCGCGGACCCCAACTAGGTAGCCTACATCCACCAACATGACTCAGTCCACTTGTCCCTGACTTCATGGATTGGTGTCATGTTTAAGTTTGACCGCCCCTAACTTTCTCCTAACTTACTGCTACACCACAAAACATAACTCGACTAGGCAGTCGGTGGTCGGGCATTCGTAACACATGTCCCAACCACCTCACCCGATGAAGTTTCAATACTTCACCTACTGATCTGCCATCCTTACGTAGTACCAGTTTCCTAACGAGAGGATTGCTTACTCGGTTGTCCCAAGATACTCGAGCAATGCTTCGGAGGCACCTATGATCGAAAACCAGTAACCTACGAATATCTTCTACTCTGACTGGCAGTGTTTCACGGCGATAGTGTAGGACGGAGCGAATTAATGCGCAGTACACTTGTCCTTCAGTTGGCAAACGGTTATCTCGCCCACGCCATAAGTGACACAACTTGGCAAAAGCCAATAGGGCTTTCTGTATCCGTGCTGAGATTTCGTCAGTCACCAGGCCATCATCGCATGAGACTCCTAAGATAAGTGAAGCGGTCCAGGTGCTCAACTACTTCACTCCCTATCACTAGTTCAGGTGCCGATGCAACCCAATCTTGAAGCGACATTTTGCATTTCGAGGGGGACATTCCTCTGTAATTGTCACAAGAGGACTTGCGTCCTTTCTTATAAATTAGGACAATCAGGGATTGAGACCAGTCAGACCGGATTATGTCCAGTTCCCAGATTCTACCTAATATCTCAGTCAATTTAACCGCTGAAACTGGACCACCATCCTTATAAATCTCAGGAGTAAGCCTATCAGGACCCGCTGCCCTCCGTCGCTTCAGATTTCCTACAGGTTTCTGAACTTTTTAAAGAGTTGTGGGACTTACGCCAACTTGTCATTCATGTAGACTGGAGATCGTGGGTAACCGAAGAGTGGCTCATGGCCAGTTGAACTGATCACTTAAGTGTTCTGCCCATCGATCCAATCTCCTGGGTTGAGAATGGATAATCAGAACATCCTTTTCTGAGATAGTTTCGCTAACAGAGGGATTTTTAATACCGATTTCCTTGATAAGTCGGAACAACTGTCTGCTGTTGCCCATCGCTCTCGCTTTCGCTACCCACGACAGTTCGCGATCATTGCGTAGGCTTTTTATCAGCCGGCGCCGAAGCTGGCTTCGCTCATCATGTTCAGGGTCAAGTGGGATGAGTCTACGAGCGTCTATCAGTTCGGTGGATGCCGCTGAGATATCCACGGCTTCTTCCTAGCCTTACTAGTTAATATCACTGCTGTTTCCACAGCCTTTTTGATATCATTCCAACCTGCATCCGGATGATAATCACTTACATGGCGTCCTAACTGTTTTTCTAATTGCTCCTGAAATATATTCTTAGCTGTTCTATCATTAGGTAGAACCCAAACAGGTTTATTAGCCGCGTCTTTCGTAAATCCAGTAAGTCGCAAACAAATACACGCTCGTACTAGAGTGTGACCTGAATTTAGACATGTACCCCAGAACGAGAGACAGTCTTCTATTGAACCCCTCCATCGGTGGCTGATTGCGACATGATCTAGTTTGGTCCAGCGTTGAGACGACTTTTGGGGTCGCCAGATGTTTTTTCTTATGCCTAAAGTTAGTGTTTGCTGGGAATAGGCGGTTATTTGAGCAGTTGCAGCAGACGGTCGCCTTTAGCTGTATGACCACCTGCGACATCATAAGATCCATCAAAGTGTCTTTTCATTCAGTCTACCTACTTGAGCATTGATTTCACCAGCCACTATTACTACATCAGAGTGTCTCACTTTTTGGAGGAGGTCCGGAAGTTTTCTGTGAAACTCATCTTTCATCTCGTCTGAACTGCAGTCAGTAGAAGCGTAGACGGATACGACGAAGAGGCAACGACGGGTGTCCTTTTCTTTTTGAGTCCGTACTGTCCTGTTTAGTCGGACAGCGCACAAGCGACTTTTTAAAGGGAGAGAGCTAGTTTTGCCCTAGGACTCAATCCTATACCTAGCCAGCATGATCCCAAGAAGCAGCCTCAGAGCTACCATATATGCGAAGAGTAAATCGACCTACTTCTTTATTTTGACACGGTGAAGTCAAATTAATGATTTTACTAGGATCCTGTATGCGTGTTTCGGAGACGCAGCATACATCTGCGGCGCGAGATTCTAAAGTCCTAGCTAATAAAACCTATTGCCCTATTTGACACAATGTCCAAACATTAAAAGCTCCAACATGTAATTTACAGCTAGGTTTCAGGAGACCAGGAATGACGTTTCGTGAACTCGCATCGTTTGCATTGGCGGTATGGAGTGATAAAGGGATGTGAGAGGAGTTAATCGTAGAGATAAGAGATGTTAGGGGATGTAGGAAGGATTTGTTTGTGACCGATTCGGTCTCGCGTGCTGTTACGGGTATGAGGGCGGATGACTTAGCTTAGAGAGTATTGATGGATCGTGATTTTATTGCATCACCGTCATCATCCATGTAAGGTATCACCAAACGATGAATACATGATTACCCACACAACAGATCACGTGTATATGCTCCTACCCCCAAAATTCTGAGTTTCTTTAATATTTAAACTAGCATCGATTCCCTTCATAAACTTCCAAATCCTGACTAGTTTCTATCTCAAGTAGGCAGATACATTAGTAAACCTGTAGGTGCTGCTCAACTATCGTCGATAACAACAAACTCAAACTGTCCAGAAACATGGTGAGTTACCACAAGTTCATGTACTACCAATCTAAGAAGTTTTAAGATCTACAAATATGAATTATTCAGACACCTTGCTTTCCTACTTACTG